CTATCTCCTAGATTACCCTGTATCTACAGATCTCCTGCCAGGTCATCCCCTGTAGCAAACACCAAATCCACTAAGGCATTTCCCCTAGTGGGACCATATACCTTCTGCATTAGGTGAAAGTCCTGTATACAGGTTAAGAACCTATGTGAATGGTCAGATCTAGCTCACTGCTCCTCCCAAGATGTCAGGGTAGTTTAAGTCACCCATGACAACCATGTTCCTTGAGTGTGCTGCCTCTGAGAGCTGTCTTGAGACTTCCAGGTCTAGCTCATCCTTCTGGTGTGGCAGTCTGTAATAGACTCCCACTACCAAGTCCCTTTCACCCCAACCCCCTTGTATTCTGACCCACAGCATCACAATTTGCCCCTCCTCCAATCCCATCTTAATTACTGAAGATGTGTATTGCTCCTTAACATAGAGAGCCATGCCCCCCCACTTTTTCCCACTCTATCACGTCTATACAGCCTATAGCCCTCAATGCCTACTGCCCAATCATGCAAAGGGTTTCACCAGGTTTTAGTTAATACAACCAGGTCAAAGTCTTTGCAAGCAGGAGTGTGAGTTCTTCCTCCTTGTTCCCCATGCTCCTAGCATTAGTATAGAGACACTTAAGCCCCCTGATAGGTGCCCTGGGTAGCCCCCTGTCCTGATGCCTATCAGGCCACTCGGTACTTACATGGACTGTTCCAGTGCATGGCTTGTGGTTCGTTGTTCCTAGATTCTCTGTGTCTTCTGCATTCCCATCCTCCAACGAACCTAGTTTAAAGCCCCGTGTAGGAGATCAACCAACCTGTAAAAGAACAGACATTTACCTTTCAAAGAGAGATAGAGACCATCAGGTTCCAGCATGCCCCTTTCATGGAAATGTAGATCATGGTCGAAGAAGCCAAAACCTGCACGATGGCACCACCTCCAGAGCCGCAAATTGTCTTCTCTAATACAGTTGTCTCGATGCTGGCCATGACCACTGACCGGGAGGATCGACAAGAAGATCACCTGCACCCCTGATCTCCTAAGCCTGGCCCCCAGAGCCTTGTATTCACTCATGATTCAGCCCAGACTACTCCTGGCCATATCATTTGTGCCCACATGGATGAGGACCATGGGATAGTAGTCAGAGGGCTGGATGAGGTCAGTAATCCTCACAGCAATGTCCTGAATCTGGGCTCAGGCAGCATACCTCCTGTACTGTGGGATCCAGGTGACAGATGACTCCCTCGGTTCCTCTCAGGAGGGAGTTGCCCACCACGATGATTCGGGGGGGGGAAACTGTTCAAATGGGGAAAATATCTGACTATGTTCAAATGGGGGGGGAAGTGCCGCCTAACATGATTTTTGCACAGTGCCACATGTATGTTTCCCTTTGCATAACTAGATCTTCACACAATAAAGGCTAGATTCTTCACCCCATCTAAACACAGCTTAATCAGAGGGAACAAGAAAGCCTCCCCTGGCTCTTTAGTCCAAGGTCTCTTCGCCCTGGAGCAAATAAGCATGCACAATATCTAGGAGCCAGGAACACTTCTGGTCCTTGCACTCCTAGTACTCAAGCAGTAGAGAATTCTAACCCTGACAACAATTTACTCCTCTGATGAGGTGAGTAAGTCTCAGGCTGTGACTTTGCCAAGTTGCTAGCAGAGGAGCAAAGCATGCTGCACCTTTTAAAATGGTAACACAGCAAGCAAGCTAACATTCCCAGAAGGTTGTGTCTGACTCAGTCACAACACCTCTGGCAGCTGCTGTTGGTACCAATCAAGCAGCAAGTACAAGCCGTGACTTTGATGTTGTTATAACCACCTTTCATTTATTTTACATTAGTGGACTTAACGCTACACTGTGAGAAAAGAGCATCTGCTCAAGGTTTTAAAGTGCTAGTTTCAGGGCTTGTTCACCAAGCACCACTTTTTAGGTCTTTTTGTGTTCATTATGATAAAAAAGGCACCACTATCAATTATTGCAGTTGTTCTGGGTGACATCAACTGTTCTCACCATAGTGATTAACTAGCTGCAAGTATGTTGCCATATTATTTATCTTGTGAGTAAGGATCTGCCTCCAAAACGGCAGGCAGCAAAACAACCACTGAACAGCTGTTCAGAGGAGCCACGAGTCTTGGTGGTGGCAGGCTGACTTGGCATAAAGTAAGTAAAACAGCCAACAGCCAGGCAAAATGAAAGTACACAATGCAAGAGAAATGCTGAAGTCATGCCTACAACTCCCTGCCTTCTGACAGAGATACCCTTTGATAGCTTTGTAGCCCTGACCTATCTCTGAGTGACAGGAGCTAAGTCAAAAAGTCTATTTGCATTTCAAAGCATCTATGTGTCATATTGTCAATGTAGGCTGGCAAAAGAAAACTGAGTCTTTAGCAAAAAATGGAGCAAAAAGAGCCTTCTGAATCTCCCAGTTTGGCATGGAGCTTGGCAAAGAATTGTCAAAAGTAGTTGCAACACTTCATGTAATCTTCCCTGAAGAAAGTGGTATTGAGGTGTATCCTCCACTTTGTAGCATGCAACAAACCAAGAGGTATTGGAGACTCACAGTATATTCCAGTTTGAGCAGGCAGGGGGATGAAAACTACAGAAATTATTTGAAGGCTACTGTGATCCATTCAAGAACTTCATTGGAAGAAACTTCAAGAAATTAGCTGCCAGGTGAGATCATCAGTTGACTGATATATAAAGCTAAGTTGTATGAATTTGTCCTGCTAGCAGATGGATTAATTAGGGACCACATTATTTTATGATGTTGCAAACTGACAGATCAAAGCAAGGCTATGGCAACAAATAGACCTGACTTTGCAAAGAATATTGCATCCTTGTTGGAGCTCTTAGAAACTCAGATTTCTAAATGAACAACCTTAATGAGTAGTGAAAGACCAGAGTACATCTAATTACAAATGCATGCCAAGATAAGAAGGCAGAATTCAAAGGTAAACAAATAGCACAGGCCAGATGTGAAGGCAATCACAATATGATGCAGAAGTGCTCATCACAAAATGTCACGCATGCAATAAAAACAACCATTTTAAAATACTGTAGCCCTCTCTACAGTAATTGTTAAGAAATGCAAAAGCACAATGCACTCAGAAATACGTAGCTGAAGGACAAAGTGATGCTGATCATCATCATCATATCAAAAGAACTTTGTCATCTCCATACCAAAAGAAAGATCTTTACTGAGCTTCTTAAAGGTACAATACAAGCTTTATACAACAGTTTGTTGTATATTGTTGAAAATAAATTTTAAAAATCTCAGGAGAAATATTAGAGTTGAATGAATGTAAATTAAATCAGTAGCTACAAAAAGATAGAGAATAGTCACCGTTATCATTGGAAACTCTGCTTATTTTATATAGGAGGCACAAAGGCCCCAATCTACAAAGGGAATTTGGTACTTGGCCTCCACTGCAAAATCCATAGTTCTGGCTTAGACACCTTTTTGGTTTCCTGTACAATGCATAGTAAGAGCTATCTATGCATCTCAAGAATGGATTCACTAACAACATCACACTGAGTAGAGAGCTACTTCAGCTAGTCCATAAGGAATAATAAAGAAAGGGGTGTATCTCAACTTGTGTACCTCTTTGGGGGTTACCTACCTTACTCAGCACTACAAGGTAAGCCTTCTTCTATTCAGGAGTCTTAGTCTTCAGCCCTCTCCTCAAGGCATCCAAGATCTTTCTTTCAAAACACCAAAGGTGAGGTAAAAGCTGCACACACACTTATGTACAACAATTTGAGCATTCACCCAGAATACAGGAGACCTGGTACAATCCCCTCTTCTGTGTGAGGAGACTGAAATCCACATCTCCCACTTCCTAGGACAGTGGTCCAATCACCAGGTTGGGAGCCATCATTGGTGTGTAATAATTGACAAGAGAGGTGGTGCTCTCCCCTACCTTTGGGGTCTTCAAGAGGAGACTGGACAAGCACCTAGCTGGGGTCATCTGACCCCAGCGCTCTTTCCTGCCCAGGCCAAGGGGTCAGACTTGATGACCTACTGAGGTCCCTTCCGACCCTAACATCTATGAATCTATGACACTATTTATTTCATGTTCTGAAAAAGAAAGCAAAAGGGAACGGGATGCTCTGGCCTACTGGTTATGGTGCTTCCCTAGGAATGGGAAGCAGAGGTATAACACACCATTTTTGTGCCCTGGGTAACAGTGGCAGCTGGAGCAGCAACAGGAGTTGTGCCAGCAGTTGCAGCAACCGCCAATCTTCCACCCTCTTCTAAGCTGGTGCCTGGGGCTGATGTCCCACCCACTCGCCCCTAATTATGTTACTGGTGGGGCGTCTGGTTCCTCATTCCTAAACAGAGATTAAGTTATGGAGTTGGGCAAGTCCTACTGTTAAGCTTGTTTCTAGATATGGGCCAAAATGTGCTTGTGTTGCAAAGCTACACTAATTACGTCCATGTAAGTACTATCAGAGTCTGAAATCAAAGAGGAAGTTTTTTGTGTGCTTGGTTTGAACAGCAGAATGCAAAGACAGATGATCAAAAGGGTGTATAATTTATCTACTGAACACGATGCAAAAGATATTTTAAAGAATTTGATGAAGTGTTTAATGGACTGGGACACACTAAGGATATAACACATCATACTGATGTCAGTGCCAGTCTGCTGCCAGAAATACATGCATCTGGCATCCCATTAGGACTGACAAATAAAAGTTAAACTTGACCAGATGGTAGAATTAGATATTACTGAGAAAATGCAGACAGCGACTGACTGGTTTAACAGTGCAGTCTTCATAGTAAAAGCAAACCAATTACAGCTTTTCCTTAGTATCATGAGGCCAATCAAAGTATTAGACAGCTCTGCGAACCCCTCTCATGAAACTTCAGCTAACTGCTGAGTAGCTGCATTATACTCCTAAGAAGTGGAGTTACAGATGGTCTACAAGTCTTTTGCTTCTTTGCCACTGGTGAAGCCAGACTCACTTTCAGTTCCCTACTTCAGAAAAGCAATGGAAGCACAATGTATTTTACAGTGCAGATTTAAAAAAGACAAATGTAATAGAAGAAACAAGCCCATTAACCCATTTCAAGGAAAATGAGGTTACATTTTACTCTTCACAGTGTTTGTTTAGATTTAGAATTAAACAGGCTACAGAATGGGAAATTGTTCAGATGACACAAACCTTAAGGGGTGGGTTGCTTGTTTTTTGTTTTGTATTGTCCTGGTTTTTTAATTTATTTTTAAACTCCCCCCCTACCTCTCCCCCCTCACTGTCCCCTTATATCTGTGCAGTTCCTGAAACAAAGTGGGCTGGAGAAGTTCAGTCTCAGTTCACAGAAGAGAACATTCTGTACTCTGCACAACAGGCAGGACTGCTGTAAAACAAGATCAACAACATGATCTCAGCAGCAGCACTACAACAGGGAAACTCTCAATACTTGAGTCATCCCAAGGATTTCTCCTTTTACGTACCCCACACACAGAGCGTGTGATCAAGGTTAGTGACTTAGCTGGCTTTTTGCCCTAGAATTGATAGTTCCCATTTTTCCCCCAGCAAAACAGGGAAGCACTTTTTTTTTCCTGGAGTTTAATTATAGCTGAAGCATTTCCAAGGAAACAGTCCTACCACCCCCACCCCCCTTCCCTCGTGTGCATTGCTTAAGGATTGGTTAGTGTTTCAATTTTTGTTGTGTCACTGGCACCTGAACACTGGATTTTAGATTAGATCCGTTGCTACCCTAATCCCCATGATTTCAAAGGGATTACAGCAGGTAGCCTGGTGAGCATTTTAGATTGGAACTAATGAAGCCTTTCTAGTGCTTCAGTGGTAGAAGGATCCAATTTTTATTCTTTCTGATCTTTCTCCAAATGGTAAATGGTCTGGCCTCTCCTCTCCTAACATGTTTACTATTTAAGATGTCAATAACAGAAGCACTGTCATAGTTGGCAAGCTTTGCAAAGAGGCAACCAAAACAGGAATAAAGGGTTATGTGGACTGAGGGGATGTTTTTTTATCTGTGTACTGTGATCTTCCTCTGATCTATACATGCAAATTACAGCGATTTATTACTTCGGAAGTCACTGGATCCGGCTCTGATTTAAATATAGAAAAGTATGGATTTGAACTATACCCTCATTATCTAATCTATCTTTTTTTTTACTCTTGTTGCAGAAGAAAGACAACAAAGGTAAAAGAAAGTTTAAAGGATCAGAGCCCTGAGTCATGTTCCTGTATAACTCATATCACAATAAAGGTGTGAGCAAGGCAATCAGTGCTCCTACCCGGGATTCCCAATGCAAGAGCTGTAAACAAAATGATGCTAGGAAAGCAGCTCTTAGAGAGGTGGGAATCAAAAGATCCTGCAATGGTAGTCAAAAATGTTAAAATGTAACTGAAGTTGCCTAATAAAGCAACACCTTACACAGGAAGCTACAGCCTATGCACAGCCTAAATCCAGGGTTTACTCCAGTGCCTGGTGATGTTGGGAACTACAGTCCCAGTTCTTATAAACAAGACCAGTTCAGACAGTCCTGTTGAGCCTGTTTCAGGGTCTCCATCCTCGCTGATGTAAGTGGAAAGGTTTCCTTTTGTGTTGATGATTGTTGTTCCTGCACCGGCGCTGCCTTGTGGAATGGGAGCTCCTTCATTTTGATGGAAAGCTGTCAGAGTAAGTTGAGGCAGTGATGAGACAGTAGGGTTTCTCCATCTTTATCTTAGCCACGGCAGGTACACAGTCCCTCCTGTTTCAGAGGAAACCATTAATCCCCTAACCTTCTCCACTAATACATGCCCTATTTAGGAAGCACACCACTTTCTTCTTCCTTGTCCCCCAGGGAAATCTTCTGTTTGACATGAAGGGAGGTTGGGGAGAAAGTCATACAATGAACCTCAGAACCAGTGAGTATAAATAGCTGGCTTAGCAGGTGGTCTGTGACTTAGCTGAACTGGCCCTGACTGTTGTTATCTGTTTGCTCTGTGTTTGTGTTCAGGCCTTGTTTCATGGTAATGGTGGGTGGCTCCTGGAGCCCTTAACACCTGGACTGTCTACACAGGAGCACCTGAAACTAGTTTTATGCACTCCTTATGTGGCTCAAAGTTACAATACTCCAGGGCAGGATTGTCTCTGATCTGTGTTATCCAGCTTTGTGTTACACTAAGGTGTAGCCACTCTAGGTTACACCCAACACCCCACCTGCCCCCCACCACCGCTGACCTGGATCAGGCACACAACCCTCCCTCCTTGATGTTCCTCACCGCCCCAGATCCCCACTCTCTGCCCCTTCCACTTTTACATGTGTCTGCCCCCAGGACAGACAGCACGGGCAGCCACAAGTAAGGGGGGGAGGGAAGCCCTAGGGCTGGGGACAAGAGCGGCAGGGGGAGCTGGGGGAGCCCCAGGAGGCAGGGGGAAGCCCAGAATACGAGGGAGGGGGATTCTTACCTTTCAGTCCTCCGGACCCTGATGGCCTGAATGCATGACCAAACTCTAGCTAACACTGACACCGATCAACATTTGTGCCTCTCACAATGTAAGGTGTAACAAGCCCCTTATTCACTGTGCTATTTTCTATGGCTGTTTAATCCTGTAAACTGAAAACAAACTGGATCCCCACAGGGTGAGACAGAAGGCGCTCGTAAGGAACAGCGAGTGTTTCCTAGGTTTCTGAAGACCGATGCACAATCTCTGCAGAGCCCTCAGTGCAAATCCCTGTCATTTGAACATGTTCATCACATGTTTCATCTGATATCACTACACATTTTTAAACTGTCACCCTTTCCCCCCTCACTGTCATCTGTCTCTGCCAGTTTCTGCAAATCCACAGAAAGACTTTGATCATTTTAGGATGGAAAAAGAAAATCTTCCTCGATCCATCCACACTCCTTTTTTCATCTGAATGGATTAAAGTCTATATGCATATTGCCAATGCATTAATATCCAATTATTCATAATTAATCTCTGGGTGTAGCTGTGTTTTTCTAGCTTCAAAGGGATAATTTCACAATGTGTTTTTTTCTTCATCTTTTATTATACACAGTTAATATTCTGCCCCAATTCTACAGATGCTCTTGTGAAATCCAGAGTTTTATTAACATTTATGTGTCAGCAAAAAATATAAGTACTCAGAATAAAATGTCTTTCCGTAGACTGCGCTCAACTCTCTGCTTCACATAAAGTACATTTAAAAGGACAATATTTACCATGCCTTAGTAAAATCTGCTCTACAGTTCGTGTGTATATGCAGCAAAGAGTTTGCCAGAGAGCTGCCAACATTCAGGGCCTGTATTCAGGCATGTTTATCATTCACAGAGCCATGAACGTAAGAGAAACTGGTGGACTACAGAAACTCACTTTGCTTCTTGCACAGTATGTGGGCCAAATGAAAAAAGCCATTATCTAAAACTGATAGTTTTCCCAGAAGAAAGTGGCCCTGAACCTTTTCATTTTCAAATGGGTGTTTGTATTTCAGCATTTCTAACAATAATTTCTTCTATTTAAGACCTTTCAGTCCAAAGAAGCCCATTGCATTTTATGCACTGTGGAGTTCAGAACTATTTTTCTCCTTGAATGAAACTGAAGGGATACGAGGTACAAGAGTACGTGGTTATAATGCAAGGCCTCCTGAAAGAACCTGGGGGAACCTGGTTTTTCAGGGGGAACCTGAAAAACAAGTGTGGTATACACAACATTTTACATGCATATCAGTCCAGGGTTACAAGGGAGAAGACAGAGGGTCTACCAACATAATCATAGCTGGCAGAGCATGGTGGATCAGAGGACTGGAGAAGGAAGTAAGGGAAAGATACGTAGGGAAGGGCTGACTTACACAGAACTTCAAATATGAGAACAGGTTGCTTGAATTTAATGTGGATTGAAACAGACCCAAGAAGAGGGATGATGTGCTCAAACATTCCTTGACCTGCAATATGAATAGAACGAATCAGAAGAAGATTGGCGATGGATATCTCAGTTGCTCACCAGAGAAATACTGTGTGCCAAAGTATTAAGAACATGAAAAAAGAGGCAGATCTAGGAATTTCCATTATTTTCTAAAGGCTCGTCTACACTGCAGCAATGTCCCAGTCAGGACAGGCCTAATGTCCTATCCGTACCCCACTCCCTGCACCGGCAGCATGCTGCATTGGCATCTGGTGGCTCCCAAGTCTGGGGGGGCACCAGATCGCCACTGGGGTTGTCCCCCAGCGGCTGATCACCGAGCCAGTGCAAAAGTGGATGTGCACTTCTACCGGCACTTCTGGTTTCATGGCTGGCGTTTCCAGGGGGGGCACATGCAGAAATATCCTATCCGTACCCCACTCCCTGCACCGGCAGCATGCTGCATTGGCATCTGGTGGCTCCCAAGTCTGGGGGGGCACCAGATCGCCACTGGGGTTGTCCCCCAGCGGCTGATCACCGAGCCAGTGCAAAAGTGGATGTGCACTTCTACCGGCACTTCTGGTTTCATGGCTGGCGTTTCCAGGGGGTGCACATGCAGAAATCTGCTTTTAAAGTTACACATCCCTCTAAAGCTGCTCTTGTGCCCTTAGTCTCTGGTGTGCTTGACAACAGCTGTACCTTACAGGCATATTTCCAAGTTAAGAGAGTGCTTGCAGGTGCTAGGGAGCAGGGAGCGCTGGATCCATCTACCCCCATGCCACTGCCAGAATGTAGACAAGCCCGATGAGTCCAAAACTTGGACCTGACAGTCAGCAACATTGAGATCCTGAGTGGTGAGCATGCGATTTCTTCTTTTCTGTAACAGTATATCTTTGCTTGTCTGTGCCCTCTAGCAATATCTTAGTAATCTTTGGGGTTTAAATAGTTAATTCTAGAATATTATTATTTTCTGTTGGCCTGAGGTGCAGATGTGAATCTTCAACAGGACTTCAATTGCAGTTGCTTGTGACTTTTTACCTAACAACATCCTGTAAGGAGAAAATGCATCACATCACACACTTCCTACAAAAAAGATTCCCATGAATGAAATGTCATTGATGCATTGCAGCTCTGGTGCAATGGCCATCGTTTGGAAACAAGTTTGAATAAAGTCACTAGGCATTTTGTAAATTGTAACTAGAAATATTAATGAGGGATGAACAGTCTGCTCATGTAAGAGAAAAGACATCATTCAGGTGAATGCTTTCATATAATTCCTATAATATTGAAGGGCTGTTTAAAAATTTTTGCTGGGGCACACTATAATTTGTTCAGGCAGGTATGAAACTTGCCAGCCGTCCTTCCTGTAGATATGCAGGTATCTCCTGCATGTAACATCAACATGACTGTGTCTTTCTTTGAAAAGTAAGATTTTTTTCTTTATAATATGCATGCTAGCCTCACAGTACACCTGTAAGCAACATGGGTTAGCAGTATATTAGGTCTGTAAAAACTCTGTTGCATATTGAAATTCTATATGTATGTAGTTGTTATGTAAAAATATGGTTTTATATAGTCGCTATATAAAAAATAAATCATATATTCAATTATTAGGATCATAGGTCAATAAAAACACAACCTTATCCCTTTTATCCATTGTGAATACAAACCTGTTGTACATTGCTTTATAATGCACAATTTACCGAATAAGCAGTAATATAGAATACAGCATAATATCCAGTTAATATTAATATTAATATTCAGTTAATATCCACACATTTTAAGTGTGGCTGAAACAAAGATAAACCACTATTTGTTATCCTTTTTTAATATAAATCTTTTCACTAGAAAAAAGAAGCACTGTTCTAAATAGTTGTGATGCTTATTTGTTTGGCAGTAACAAATGGCAGTTTCTCTTTGTAGCTGTCACCACAAAGCTGCGTGAATATCAAACACCCCAAACTGATCCAATAATACTGAGGGCTCATTGTTTTTAGTGCTGGATTCAAAGACAGTCACATGAAGCTCATGAATTATAGGACTACTAATTCAATATAAATACTATGTAGAATGAAGCAAGGTAGATATAGCCGTACAAGGGAGAAAGGCATGGGAAAAACATGGAAAAGAAAGAAGAGTATCTGAATGATTCTGGCTAACAAGCAGCTTCCAGACTTACCAAAGACCATCCCCCTCCCCTTGTATGGCAGTATCAGCAGCTTGTACTAATTGGAAAAGAATATTATTTAAAATAATTTGATAATTAAATAACATTTTAATAAGAAGCCATACCAATTCATACTGTGGTCTGGTCAGGTCTCATAAACCAGGCAGAGGCTTTGGACGAAATGTGAAAGATGCTGTCTACAGGTAGCAATTAAAAATTACTTTTAGTGACAACAGAGGTGCTACTCTCCTGTTTAAATTCCAGCTTGAGTTTGTCATGACCCAAAGGCATGATTTTGTGTGTGCTTCGGCACCAGAATTATCCCCGCCAAGTTACAGCTTCATTGCACGGGAGAGTTTCCTATTGCAGAGGAGAACCCTGGTGCAGGGACAAGTTTCCCGCCTATTTGCAGCTTCTTTTGCAGAGTGCATTGCTCAAGTTGCAAGAGAAATGCACGGTGCAAAAGAGTTCCCGCCACCCGTATGCAAATTTGTTCCCTGCTATTGGCTAGTTCTAAATTATTCCCACGTGGCGGCTAACGATTGGCCTGTTAGCCATATAAGAGGCTTGAGCGGTTTCCACCCAAGCTGAAGAGGACTCCACATCCATCTCGTGGGGACTCTGGATACACGGCAGGGTAATAGAGACCCTGTGTGAGATTCAGAGGAGCTTGGCGACCTGATCCACCGCCCACCTCTTCCCGTCTTCGAGCGCAAATTTTATAAGACGTATCTCCGATTCCGATTTTGGTGGCGCGCTCACCCAGCGCATCCGGAGCTCTGTTCCGTGGAGCCTAGCAAACTCCA